GCAATGAGCAGCTGCCTTTTATCCCTCATCGGCCATTTTTAAATTTTTCGCTCCTTAGTTCTTACACTTACTTTAAAGATACTTTAAAGTATCTCATAGGTTCGAGGCAACTTTCGCCGCTGTCCTGGCGAATTAATCATCGTCTAAGTACGCAGCTTGTGGCTAAGGACATGCGCAACAGTCCCCGACCCCCTGAATCCCGTTCTCCTCCACGCCCCCCTCCGAAAACCATCTCGTCCTGCAGCAGCTGCGGCCAAAGCGAGAGCAATATACAGTTAAAGCTTTTCCCACTGCGGAAAAAGCTTGGCTATCTGGCTGGCTGGCAAATGTGTCCTTATGGTCCTTGTGTGTGTATTTCGGGGGATGTGTGTATGCGAATAAAAATTCAATCAAAATGGCGTTTGCACAGCGCTGGATGCTGTTCTGTTTGCACTGTTTTCTGTTGATTTATTTATGCCTTTTAAAGCGAATCTTGATTAAAAAATTTAAAAGGTGAAAGCCCTAGAGATTTGTATTTGTACAGTTTTTTATTATGTGTATGTAAGAAATTAAATTACACCTTAAAATATTAAAATAAACTATGTAATCAATCTAAAGCTGAAACTTCTAAAATCATTTAAAAACTTTAGTTTCTTTTTTTATTCTTCAAAAGAAATAAGGTTAAGTTTAATAAAAATATATGGACAATGTGTATTAACCAATAAATTAGATGTATAAATCTTTTTACGGATCGAGGTTAATTTACATCATACAATTATTACGCCTTACAGGAGCACACAACGTACATAAATATTCTATTTGCGCTTAAACTTACTAAAAACAGCTTGAAGTACCTTACACTAAAAAGATATAAAATTTTTCGTTATATTTTTGATCTCATACCTTACAGCAGAACCTCCTGCCCCGAGCTCATCGCTTAAGCTCAGCTGTTGTCTCCTCCTAATGACCTCCAAGGCCCTTCCCTGCAGAACCACTTCACCCAGTCTCGAGACCAAGAAGTCCTCCCCTCCCCTTAACAACTTTGCCAGCCATCTTGTTCAAACTAAGTAGCTCATGTCTGACAGCTGAGCAACGTTTGTCATAATCAAATGTGAATGGACTGACACTGACACTGGGGCTCCGAGGACCGAGAACTGAAAACTGGTAGCTGCCAAAAAGCAGAGAGTGGAAATTAATTTAAATTGGCCTTTAATGTAAATGCATCTCTCAATGCATCGCCAACTGCAGTTGGTTCCTTAAGAGTTTGCCCTGCTCCAGATATCGCTTATATCCCGACTAACACCGACTTGTGTTTGCCTCTAAATGGAGGGTATTTATCAACTACTCGTAGACACGGACTACCCATCCTCCAACCTATTTCGAAAACCCCCATTTCCATTACGGATGCGTGAAGAACTCAAATGGCAAGGTATTAACGAATTGTCGTGAGTTTGGTCCGGGGAGGGGTATTCATTTTTCTTGGATCGTTTAATTGGAAACTGCAGAAGTTGTAGTTCCGTTGATGCACAGAGATAAAATGAAAGAATATTATTGGGTCTCATGTTAATAGACGACTAATATGGTAACGTAAAATAAAATTTAAATTACTTTTGTGGACTATTGAATAAATATTATAATTGTTAAAACAGTGTCACGTAAGCATGTTTTTTTTTATTTCTTTAGGAGTTTTCCAAGTAATATTCTTTCCTATATGCGAAAATTTCAAAATTTTCCTCCGTGTTTTTGTTCTATGCCCACATTTAATTTGAAAATTCCCATTTCGCGTCCAGCGCTGTTTTTCTTAACTAAAAACAAACTACAAACGCTGCTGATTGTTTCATATTAAAAACTGAGCGAGTGTGTGCGAGGGGCAACAACTACAACGTCGGAGGAACAACATGCAAGCGATGATGAAAAATCGCCTGCAACATGTTGGATGCTGCTGAGGGACCCTCCATGGATCTGGAATGGAATGGGATCCGAGAGGATGGTGTGGTGTGCTACGGATTGGGATACGAAAGTCTGGCTCTGACTGCCCGCTGGCATCGCCAACATCAACTCCAATTACAGAAGTACACGCAGGCGTCTCTCTTATGATTTCTTTTTTTAGTTTTTCATTTATTTTCCATCTTCTTTTTTTTGTACATATTTTTATTTGCTTTGTAGATGATATGCGGGCCAAATAGAAAGAGCAAACAGAGTGTGTTACATGTGTGTTTGAAAAAGGCAAGGAAAACATGTGTAATAATTACACAATTCCTTAGACGAAGAACATTTTTAATAAGTTCAAGAATCTCTTTTTATTTGACGAAATTCGGTGCCTTAGCTAATGCATATATGTGCATGAAATTAAGTTCCCAATTTAATAAAGTAATTCAATTATTATTTTTTTCAAATATAGTGTGTGGCGTTCACAGACTGGTATTTAGAGCCTTTTGTTTTGTAATTTAGCGTTGCTGTTAAATGACTTCTGCGTTTTTCAGCTTTTTCACCTTAAAGTATCTTAAACAATATGCGACCATCTTCTCATTGATAATTCATATTGGGTGTGTCTTTATTAGCAACTCAGTCTTATGATAAAAATACCCAATCAACAACAAACCATACCGAAACAAACTAATCAATCGAATTCAAATTCAAATGCCGCCGAAATCAAACAACATTTGTTCAGCTCTGAATGTGAACCTGGAATGTTGGTAGCAAATATGAAATCGACTTTTAATTAAGGCATTTAGCCAAACAAATCAAAATCGTTAAGCCCCGAAACCGAATGAATCATGGGAACTTGAACTTGGCTGGGCTCCAAAATGAACCCGATCCGGAGCCCCGAAAACAGACCAATAAATTTAAATTCAGCGACAACTGCCAACGAGCTCATTTTAAAGGAGGAACACACGTAACTTCAGCTTTAGGAGGAGACTTTGCATTTTCGAGGGCGGCCAGGCCAGGCCGGGCCAATAAAAATGGAAATGAACGCGGAGCAGAACGTTTATAAAATAATAATGCGAAATAATAATGTGACGGTGATTTAGCGGAACAGTGCCACGATTGAATACAAATAAAGTGGGGGAGACGACGCCTAATCTAGGATGATTTCGGCCTAATCTGGAGCGTGAACCGGGGGCAGATGCGTCCTGGAGTGGCTGCCAACTACCTGTTTTTTCTCGCTTTTCTCGCTTTCCTCGCTTTCCCGGCAGCGGGCTTTTCCCCAAATCGAGTGAAAAGCTTGAGCGCCATAGGCCGGTTGCCGTGGCACCCTCGTCGCATAAATCAAGGCAGGGGGCGGAGCCAGCCGTGGGTGCGAGCGGGACGCCCTGCTTTTCGAAAATGCGCACTGTCCGGCCTCTCGCTCGCACCCATTGACCGGGTCCCATGATGATTTACAGTGTTCGAAACGCACACAAAGGCAGCGAACTAGAGGGTCGTTCTGTCGGTTCTTATGGCTCAAACGTGAATCGAACGTGGCGCACTTCAGTCGCCAAGCTGCGCGCTCGGTCTCCTGCAAGAAAATACAGAGAAGATACAGATACTCGTAATCGCACTCATACGCGCCCGCAATCCGCGAAGTTTCCGCTCGAAACCCAGTCTTGCGATTCCATGGAAAGCTCTTTGGCGACGGCAAGGTGCCATGGTCTCCCCATAGCGGATACTCTACCGATTTACTCCTCTACATAGGAGAGGATTTCTTATCCACCTGAAATATTATCACACAGTGCTCACCCCTTTCGCATAACTAAGAATCTAAAGTGCAGTGCTAAAGGCAAATACAATTGAAGCGAAAATACAAATCTAACAGTGAAGTGTTGCAAGATAAACTTATTGAAGTAACAAAACTTATTCGCAACTTGCGATTGGATTTCCTGAATTCGTCCATTTAAAGGTAAGAAAACTGAGTACTACAGGGAAAATTGCAAGAGAATTGGAACATTTGACAAGGACATCTAAGAAATTATAGCAAAGTATTTTATGTGGAATTTAATTATACTTTTATTTTCGGTTTGAATCAAGCAAATCAGACGAAAATACCATCTCCAAAAAAATCAAGACCAGTGCTTACATTTATGTTCAACTATAAGAAGCTTGTAAGCTGAACGGTAACATCAAAATATTGTAGTATTTACTTTTCGCGTTGATAGTTAAAATATCATTTTTTCAAAAATAGACAAAAATAAAGTAAGGAATAAAGTAAGATATATTTATAACAAAATACAAACACACAATTTTGTTTGAACTGTAGAAAACAGTATAGAAAGAGTATTAAAACATAGCCAACATTGTTTTAAACGCTAGTTAACATTCCAATAGACTGATTATTCAAATATAAACATTTGTTGGTTCCATCGTGTTTTAAACCTCCAGAGTTTGTGTGGATAGTCTTTTCATTTTCAAAGCTCCAACACTCCCACCACTCTTGATATAATCATAAAATGTTCCGTGATGTCCAGAAGTTCGAAGTTCGAATGTTTATGATTTGTACCCCTCGGAATCGATCTCACACGGACAGTGTCGGTGAGAACAATAAGAATTTTGGATGGGTCGAAGTTCGAAAACGTATTTTTCGAACTAACGATCTCACGGACACACAGGCAGTGTGTGAGAGCAATAAGAACTTCGAAACGCGGAGAGCGGTGTTTTCGAATTGCCGCTCTTTCGAACTCACACACACACACCATAGCCCCGTCCCCGTGTCCGTGAGATACAATTTGTGGCAACGAATTTCTGGTTTGGCGGTTGATTCGAAACGTTCTTCGAGTCCGCAAAGGTAGTTTCAGCCATTGCCTGAGAGCGAGCGAGATGGCAGAGCGGCGCAATGGCCGCCGTCTCGCTCGCACACTTTTCGAATAATGAGCGCTGCACTTGGTCGCCGATATGTAGCTATATAGCCCTACTTGCTCGTACTCGCGGATACAATTGGACGGGGGAAATGGGGCAGTGTGAGTGAGCCAGAGCGCTGGCGTATCTGTGTGTTTTTTATTGATGCTCAGATATTTGAATTATGCCCGAGCAGTCAAAGTGAGACATTGGCGCTTCGAGCACGTATCCGCGGATACACCGGAATAAAAAAATAAAAAACACTCTGAAACTCAAACAATCCAACACACAGCTGTGCCGCGCAATAAGATACAAAGACACTCGAATTCTGTTCGATTTTAGCGGAAGATGGATGGGCTGCAAAGTGCTTGCATCGATGCTGGCGTTGATGGACAGTCATAAATTCGGCGTGAAATTCGCGCAGATACTTAGATACTTGGCCATCCCGCAGATACTTATCGCTATCCGTGACAAATTGCGCGAGTGCGTGTGTTTTTGTGATACCCAAAAGCCGTCCAAATCCGTCGCTTAGCCCTTTGCGGCCAATTACCCCTTAGGACCATCCAAAACATTCACCTGCAGGTAGAACGCCAGAGTCTAGCCAATTTGCCAGCAGGATGCCATCGGATTAACTCTCCAGATATCCGGCTGGTTGCGACAATTTTACCTTTGCTATTGTCCACTGCAATTTCCGCATTCAACACAAGTGAAATTCGTAGTTCAGTGCAGTGAATATCAGAAAAAGAACTCACTTCAACGGAGGTGAACGCCGTCGGCTAACTGAAATAGTGAGTAACCGAGTTTCAGGGCGGAAAAATATATTGCACCACTTTGTCCAGGTGTAAATATTGGTTAATATAAATAAATATTTTAGTTTTTTTTTGTATTTTTTGTGTTGTTATTTTAATGTGTTAATAACGCAGCAAGTTATTATTTCAAAAGGTTTTTTATTTCGAATAACGTCGTTTTTTAACAAAATGTATTTAAAATGGAATGTGTTTGAAGCTTATCATTTTAAAAATAAAAGTATCCGTAATAATAATATTTCAAACTATATCGTGTGATGTTCTTAAGGTCTCTTTTGACATACAAGTACGATCGTCTTTTATTATACATCTGCACTTTACTTTTCTACTTGGTGGTGTGTTTTATTTCAATAGATTAAAATTAAATTTATTAAATAATACAAAAGTTAAGCATTAAAGGCCAAACGCCTAGCCTAAAAATCAAGACATCCCGTTTAAAATAAGCACATTCCCTTACAAAATAGCACTCACTTACTCATTTATTTATTCTGAATAATAAGTTTACCTTTTGTTCATCAATAAAATATGTTTGTATTTTTCGAAACCGAACCCCAAATCTACTGTTTATATAATACATATTTCTTTATATCTGGCCTTTGTTTCTTTTTTTTGGATTGTGTTTTAGTAATTTTTCATTGGGTTGCGTGCGCGGTATCAACGCAAGGAATTTTCACTTCATTAAAACGAAATGCAGCCGCTTTTGAAATAATTAAGAGGCACAAAGGCGAAATGTCACAGCGAATGAAAAATGCCTAACAAGCGGCGCATATAGAGGGCTAATCCAGGCACATAGCGCTATATACCGAGCCCGAGTTGGGATAGGGATGAAGAAATACCTACCATATAGGCTTGGCCCCTGTCCGGGAAGCGAACCCATGCTGGCCAAGACGCCATGGGGCGAACCTGAAATTATGTAAAGTAAAGAGAAGACGCACTGGCCTGGAACTTCAGGGGACTTCGCCAATGACCGAGTGAAGCGATGCTCCTGGGCAGTATTCTGCATCCCGGCATGGCCTCCCATATGTGCTGTAAGTGGAAGAATTTCCACTTGATGTAGGTCACTTTCATTCGCCCAGCTCGCCGGGGGTGGGCCAAGATCAAAGAGCTGACTGCCCCGGTTGCATAATGTGGGCACAACACTGAGACAGTCGCAGGCCCAGTAACATTCCCATTCCGACTCCCAGTGCCAAATGGCTAATTGGAGGGAAGAGGCCAGTCCAAAGTTCCCCAGTGTCTTCTGCAGCGCCGCAATTTATTTGGCCTGCGCCTGGCGGAGACATTCATCATGGGCTAACCCCGGCTCTCCTCCACGCCCTCCTCAAATATTTCAACTCCACTTGTTCATATTTATAAATCAAAATCGCAAACACGCAAGCTGAAAATTTGTGCTAGAGTCGTTGATCTATTGGCCGCAAAAATGGCAGACATTTCTGTCAGGGAGCGAAATGTTTACAATAAATGGTAAAAAAAAATATAAGCTTAGAATTAAATAAATTAAATGGCGAATTTTATAAACTAACGTATTCTTAAAAGATATAACAAATAATTTTGAGATTAAACTACTTTTGGCACACTCTTCGACAAACTAATAAACTGAAGACAAAAGATACAATAACACATACACTTTAAAAAAAATTCACCTCACCCCTTCCCAAAAGACCAACCACAAATCAAGTTTATCAAGGATTATCCGTGAACAGTAGCAAAACCATGATATATTACACAATTGAGATGTCCTTGACCAGAAACAGGACCTCTGTAATGATAATTTCCACTCGACCATTGCGCAACAGATCGTAAATTATCGGGGCCGAGATGAGATGACAAACTGAACCGCAAATGGCCGCTTGCCGTGAGGATCGGGATCGATGATTGGTTTCGAGGGAAAACAATTGGAGAACTCATAAAAATTATGAGAGCCATGACAAACAAACAAACAAACCGCAAACAGCAACTGTGACGAGGGTTGCCACGGCAGAAAGAGATGCACGGATCGGGAGTGGGAAAAAAAGACACAAAAAGATGAAGAGGAACAATATTTATGACTATTTTTATGAGGTGCTTACAAATTTTTATGACTTTTTAATGGGTCCGCACACAGTCTCTGGCCCTCTCTCTTCCTCGTGGGCCAGTTTATTGTCGAGTGAGCGGGACCACAAGATTTGCCAATGAGTGTGACTGCGCGTGCGCAAATACCTTTTATTTATCTTGTTCTTCTGTTCTTTTTTTCGAGAGTTGAACTCGTGCGTACCGCAGTTTGAGGTTCTAGAGCGGCGTGTTTACATGCACACAAGCTACGCCCCTGTTGACAACAAATATTAAAAATTATGATTTATGGCCGGGGCTCGTTTGGGTACAAAATCCGTAATGGTGACGACAAACAGCCCTGCGACATTCGTAGGAGAAATAACTGCTTTGGGTGCTTTGTGTGGCTCATAATTAAGATGGTGGCCTCTGGGCCGATGACGTAGATGATGACGATGATGGAGTGCTCAGAAATGGATGACAGTTCCCTCGATGGGCCGTTGAAAAGAGTCTTCAAGCAGAAACGGGTTAGGCTAGGTTTGGGACTAGCTGGGCTGCAAGTAGAATTAGTAAGTGTGGCTTAAAGTTGGGTTAAAAGACGGAGAAAAAGTAAAAGCGTGAAATGGTTTGGCGATGTCAAAAATGCTACAAAATATTTTTTGAATGTTTTACATTGTTTTATCTTTAAAATGTTGCAATTAGAATTATCAAACGTGTTAGCAATTGAAAACATAATAATTAATAGTGTTTAGTTTTATGAGCTAAATACGAATAGCCCAACGGAAAATCAAATTTTTTAAACAGCTCTAAAGCAATCAATATTAGCCAGAATATTGGTTAAATGCAAATCCGAACGTCAATTATTGATTATGCAAAAGTTAATCATCTTAATTGTGCAGATGCTCAGCTTCCAGCTCATGAAGAACGCATAGGAAAGTTTAGACCCCGCGACCCCCCGAAACATAACGTCAACATCTTGAATGAGGTTCGGGTAGGAAAACCCTTTTCAGCTGTCGCCCTGCAATATTTCCCCAATTGATTTATGGCATCAGCAGACGCATGTGCAACTCAATTGCTGTTTATTTACTCTTACTCTGACTCTTACCCTCCTCTACAGTTTAGATAGGGTCTGATCCTACCTGTGGCGATGTGAAACGGAAAAAGCCGAGGACGGGAAAGGAAATTCGTTCTGCGGTTTAAGTATCGGGGCAAAAGAGAAATTTCACTCCCATTTGGAGGCATATTAAAAGTGTTTATATAACAAAGGAGGAACAAAAGAAAACTCAGTTGCCCGAGTCCAAAATGTCGCTGAGACCGATCCGATCCCGAAAGAATTGCCATAATTTATGGCTTTCTTATGAGCTCGACCGACGATCGCCAATCTAAGACAACGTCTGTCCCTCCCTCTCTCTCTCTTTTCGAGTTCCCCGTCTCTTTCGGTGCCCGCAAAATTCATGGATTTAATTAACACCAATTGAACCGCTTGTCGCCTCAGCGCCGTCTTAAACTATTTGGAAAACAATTTTCAAAATTCGTTTAATTTATGGCTTCAGCTTCCCTTTCCCCTCACAGTTTTTGACGTTTTTAATTTGCCCTTAAGTGATCAGGAAATCGACAGAAGCCCCAGCTTGATTTTCATGGATGCAACTGCATTAAAACAACCAAGAGAAGAAAATAAATGTATTCTTTTAAAGCAATGTGTTAAGTTTTTTAAACATTAATAAACTAAGACAGGTCATCGAGGAAATACCAGGTTGCTTTCTGTGTGAAAATAAATGTTTGTCAAAAATTAGTAAATCAAAATCCATTACTTAAGCCAGCCAATTTTGGCTGCCTTTGGTACTTCTGGTTTGTTTGCTTAAAAATTGCGGTTTTCACCCAATCAATTTTCATCGCTTCCATTCAAATACCAAATCGATTCGACCTATAGGTTGTTCAAATATCGCCAGTCAAAGGTTCAAAGTCAGCCGGAGACGCTGATCCTATAATTTTGCTGATTTCGGCCTTGTTCGGCTTAAACGCGGGCGCTTGTCTACAACTATAATTCTCATATTGCCAGGTCGAATTGGTTTTCTCCAAAGCACCGTTACCGGGGTCTTAAAGCCTATAATCGCTGGAGATCGAAAAAAAAGAAAGAGGGGAGAAGGGGGCAAAGACCTGAAGGCAAGTTTACAATATTTCCTTAATTTTTATTTTTTGTAGTGTTTTCCGCGAGAGCCCTGCTCATCAAATAAATCTCTGTCCAAAGTTGAGCATTCGCTCCTTGGGTTCTTGGCCAGTTTCGAATGGCGTACGGCATTTTAATTTAAGCCCAAGTTGAGAGCTCCTTTCATTTGGCCAACATGCTAAAGGGTTAAATTGCCCACTGAATCAAAATTATTGGTTTCAAGCCACAAAAAAGGGCAGGGAAGTGCGGGGTGTGCATTTGGTTGCATTGTTTTTGGCCAATGTTCTCAGTGTTCTGCTGTTGTCGCTTATTTTTATACCCTCTATGGGGATATAATATTGATGTAATATATTTCGGAACCTTACAGCTTTTTAATAAAACAATAATTGTTTTATAAAATTTTTAAATAAATAGGAAAATGGTATATATAAACGTATGTTACATAAGGAATTGTGCAGGTTGCGATAAATGTTACCACTATTCATTTTTCAGATACAAATATTATGTATGGCTGTTTTAAAGTTTCTTGGTTTCTTCTAGGAATATATTGTTGAGCTAATATATATCATATTTTCAAGGGTATAAAAGTTTCGACTTCTCTGTGATGTATTGCCATCTCGATTTTTAGTTTTTGGCCATGTTCATGTGCATCGGCCTCGCTTGGCCTCTTTTGCCTTATTGCCTTTTTGCACTTTTTCGGCTCTGGGGCGATTTGAGAGCTCCTTTCCTTCAGCTCCTTTCGAAGCGGAGGGTCATTGCTTTTGTTTGCTATCTGCGCAGCGGAGAATACGAGTTTTTCCGCCATTGAACAAACATGCCCAAGACCAAGACTGCAATATCTGCGATGGTTGCAATGGGCGGAGGAAGAGGGGTTTGGGCCTGGGCCCTGCCAGCAAGTGCAGCCGCAAGAAGTTTCCGCCGAGTGTGTCCAGAAGAGTGGGCGGTCCCTCGGCATTCCTCGGCCAAAAGCTCTATACATATATATAAAATATCCACTTCGATGGCCCGGCTGGCTTAAATTGCATGCTTAGGCAGCCCCAGCTCTCTCCACCAGCGGAAGACAAGAAAAAACTCGACTCTTTACCGTTCTAAAAATAATAATAATAATAACCAAGTAAGAGGCAAGTGAAATTATCAGCGGGCAGAGAAACACTTCGAGGGAGGAACCAATCAAGAGGCGTGAGCCAGATACACTGTTTGCGGTTTCGTCTGCTGAAATTCTCGAAAACAGCTTGCTTTACTCGCCTCTTCAACAGGTATTCCATACCAACCGATCGAGATTGAATTAAACTGAAGAAAATACCGAAAATATAAAGTATGCATATTTAAACTATGGTTTAGGCATTAAAGAGCTTTTTGTGGCTAAATTATCTATTTATAGTGCGAAACTGAATTGTTGATGACTGATAAATGTATTGATCAGCCTTGAATTCTTATTTATCCCCTGGGGTTTTATTATGCGAACCCTTTGAAAAGAGTAGGAGTCAATCCCTGGCTTTCATTCGAGTTATCTTAACTTAAATGTAAATACTTATTCCCCGCAGCCTCGTCGATACAATGTTGCCAATCTCAAAATGAGATCTTAAGCCAAACACGAAAAGCCATGGAAGAAAACGTTTTTGCAGTTCGCTGAATCTTTTTATTATTCTTTAGGGACTTACTCAATACAATGTAGACACATAAAATAAAGGTGGAACAGTAAAACAATCAATAATAAGAATTTTTTTGTTGCTTAATCTTAAAGTAGGGATCAGATACATTTTTAAGTATGACATTGAATTTAAAACTAAGATTGGAAATGGTTTAGTTAAGAAGAAGCAGCGAAGTATGAATTTTTATCCTTATACTTATTTTGACTATTATTACTACTCTCTTTAAAAAAAAAACTTTGATTTTCTATTCTTATGTCCATGTCTTAAGGCTTTGTATCTAATCCCCTCCCTTCTCATTTCCAGACTCGCATCCACGACTAGGACCCCTGGCTTCAGAATGGATCCCGACTGCTTTGCGATGTCCTCGTACCAGTTCGTCAACTCGCTGGCCTCCTGTTATCCGCAGCAGATGAATCCGCAGCAGAATCACCCGGGAGCGGGTAACTCGAGTGCGGGCGCTAGTGGCGGCGGAGCGGGGGGCAGCGGGGGCGTGGTGCCCAGCGGCGGGGCAAACGGGGGCCAGGGCAGTGCGGGGGCGGCCACTCCGGGGGCCAACGACTACTTCCCGGCCGCCGCGGCCTACACGCCCAACCTGTACCCCAACACACCGCAGGCCCACTACGCCAACCAGGCGGCCTACGGCGGACAGGGAAACCCCGATATGGTGGACTACACACAGCTGCAGCCGCAGCGCTTGCTCCTGCAGCAGCAGCAGCAACAGCAACAGCAGCAGCAACACGCCCATGCGGCGGCAGCAGTTGCAGCCCAGCAGCAGCAGCAACTCGCCCAGCAGCAACACCCGCAACAGCAGCAACAGCAGCAGCAGGCGAACATCAGTTGCAAGTACGCCAACGATCCTGTGACGCCGGGTGGCAGTGGGGGAGGGGGTGTTCCCGGCAGCAGCAACAACAACAACAACAGCTCCAACAGCAACAACAACAACAACAGCCAGTCACTGGCCAGTCCACAGGACCTGTCCACCAGGGACATATCGCCCAAGCTGTCGCCCAGTTCGGTGGTGGAGAGCGTGGCCCGGTCGCTGAACAAGGGCGTCCTGGGCGGCAGTCTGGCGGCCGCCGCCGCCGCCGCTAGCTTGAACAACAACCACAGCGGATCCGGAGTGCCCGGCGGTCCTGGGAACGTCAATGTCCCCATGCACAGTCCGGGGGGCGGGGACTCGGACTCCGAGAGCGACAGCGGCAACGAGGCGGGCAGCAGCCAGAACAGCGGCAACGGCAAGAAGAACCCGCCGCAGATCTATCCCTGGATGAAGCGAGTGCATCTCGGAACGAGTGAGTACTTTTATATCTTTAAAACTTGGGTTAACTTTTTAGTGTTATATGTGTACATTGCGTGATCCACTCCAAAGTTCAAATGCACATTATAATAGCTCGGTCTTATAAATGAGACGTGAGATAAGTACAACTATTCTTATCTATCCAGCGTAACAAAACGCCTTTCTCAGGTTTCATTTGCATTGCAAATTTGGTGCAGATTGCGATCAACTCAACTGTAAACCATTAAAATATAATATAATATAATACATATATTTATTTGACATACCTAATCCTTTAATATAAATACTAAAAAGGCTTGATATTAAAAAATAACATTTGGTATTAATTTCAAATTCTGCCACATAGAGAGCGAGCGATGTATAGTCGATATAATCGAAAATATCAAAATTATATACCATCAATTTAATATGAATCATGTTCTTCTGTGTGTACAAATTATTTTTTTATTCTAAAATTATTCAAATCAATTTAGCACTCTTCTTGTTCAGAAGATAGGTGCTATAACCATCAAATTGATATGAATAATTTTTTGGTGTGTACAAATTATTTTTTTATTCTAATTTAGCACTCTTCTTGTTCAGAAGATAGGTGCTATATACCATCAAATTGATATGAATAATTTTTTTGTGTGTACAAAATTTTTTTTTATTCTAAATTTATTCAAATCAATTTAAAACTCTTCTTGTTCAAAAGCATGAACAAGAACTTCCATGTTCCATAATGAATTTAATAATGTGGTGTATCGCTTTACTGCCTCATCGTCACTTATGATACAATTAGCTAGAAATGAGCTCCATAAATCAACATGTATCCACCGATAGCTCACCTCAATCGGTGCCTCATCCAGTGCTCATTACCATTTCTGCGAGACACTTGGCTCACTCACTCGCAATGGGTGTTGCAACCAACTATCCATATTCATTGGCCAGCAAATGTTGCCGAGTGCTTAGCACCAAATTGTCTGGCAAACTGTGCGCGCGGGGAATCTTGTCAAAATACATAAACAATAACAACATTTCCCTCGCACTTACGCTCTCCAATTTTCCTCCAATTTGGAGGAAGGCGACGGAAAAGGGGAAACGCTGCGTGAAAAACTCGACCGCGAAAATCGTAGCTCGTGAAAATTGTAAACAAACGTGAAGCGATCCGATCCCGCAGCTAAGGCCGGCTGACTCCCACAATAACTCATAATACCGCCGCAGATACAGATGCATATCTAGATACAGATACAGATATATATAGGAATCTAGGCAGACAGATACTGCGGCTTGATATAAATCTCAGCACCTCGCTCGGTTTATATTTAAATTTAACCGAACAAATTCCACCCGAAATTTGTTGGGCTGGAAAATTGTGAACGAAAAATTGTTCAGTGATTTTTCATCATGTCTCTGGCGCGCACACAGATTTTTCATTCTGCCACCCCCTTCCACCTTTCGGATTCCCCAATTTTTCCACCTTTTCTGACCCATCGACAGGGCAAACTCACGAAGTCGTCTCGGGGATCCCAACTATAATCAAATTATTGAAAAGATTCTTCATATTCGTCGGCGGCTGGGGAGATTAATTGGGTTGCAAATAGTTTGACATTTGCTTGGATTTACCTGGCTGCAATCTTACTTGCAGCTCGTTTATTATTTTAGCTAAGAAATAATTAAATATTTCTGTTCGCGTATAAATCATTTGATTCAGGTTCTGGGAAATATTTTTTGGCTAGCTCTGACTTGGTGTCTCATAAATCACATTCCGCGCTCATTAGCTCATTGAAGTATAACCGAATGGCACTTAAAATTATTCAATAAAGGAATTTAATATAGGTAATTTCGCTCGACGAAAGGGTTAATTGCTGGCTTGCATTTTGCATTTCCATATTTGCTTGTTCAACCGGGTCTTGACAACCCCAAATCACAACATGTCAGCCAATTAAAGAGACGCCGAAGTGCTGCCACATATTTATAGATAGTCGCACTGCCAGCAAGTCAGCAGATACAGATACATATTGACTAGCAACTTGGCTCGATTTTCCATTCCGATTCGTGGGGAAACTCGTTCCCCGCTCGGTTCCAATCAATGGGGCACATTGTTATTATTTATGTATCTGTTACTCATGGCAGCCGGGCAATAACAACAAGAACGGCGAGTATCTGTTATGCAAATTGCAGCAAGTGGAAGCGCCCAAGAAATTGATTGCAGCGGGGTGTAGTAATGAACTTCACTTCGCATGGAAGAGACATGAATGAAATGGGCTCAGATGCAGATACATTTGCAGATCACATGTGGAAAAGACGCACTCAGAGAACGCAGGAAATCATGTATCTCTGGGGGAGAGCTCGTGTATCTGGGCATCTCCGTCTGGCTTTGCCATTTTCCTTGAGTTTTCATGCATCGCCGAGGTTTAATTACTTTCTTAATCATATTCGGTTGAGGGCAATGTGAAAGGCAGCCATCTATACAGCTATGTGCAGCTATATCTTTAAATATATAATTATATCTTCTGGATACAGCTACAATAGTTGCACTTGAAGCTGTTATGTAAAATATACATTGAGGCCACACAATTATGTGTAACTATATCTGCAAACTAATTGTATACCCAGGTGTATCTTTACAGAGTTCAGGCAATCGAAGAACAACCTACAGCAACAAACATTTATATATATTAAGCTTGAAGAGTGGTTTAAACTCATGTACAACTGTTAACATTTTGAAGAGGTTAACTACTTGAGTTGTGTAAACTTTTAACTTTAATTATTTGAGAGGCAAAGTTTATTTTCTAGCTGCAGATGCATGGGGCCACTCCCATGTTTGTTAGGAACCCAAGAGTCAACAGCCTGCTGACTGGCAATTAGGCTTGCTATTTTAACGTCCAGAGCACAACTCAATTTTCGACAGCAAATGTCTTTATTAGAAGTAGCTGCCGGGTGTGATGGCATGTGCGGGATTTTTCATAATTGCGCCTGAACTAAGAATCGCTATTAAAAAACGTTGTTGCAGGTGCCAAGCAGCGCAAATGCCAATAATAAAGTGTAATCTGAGGGGTAGCATCGGAAACAGGCGCTGATTAAAGTCCAGTAAAAATAACAGCAGCAGCAGGAAAGGCAACAGCAACATCATGTTAACAATTATGCAAATTTGGAGTGCATGTTGCTCATGGGGCGGGGGGCGGATGGCGGGGGGCTGGGGGGAGTGGCAGGGAACCCGGCTGATTGCATATAATCACGTCAAGTTGTTACTGTGGCAACCATTTTATAATGCAAAGAAAAAACGCCAGCTCAACGCCATCTTCAGAGCGAAAAAGAGCGAACGAGGCTATCTGGGTTCCGCGAAACACTTTTCGCAAGAAGAGTTTTTTAAGAGCTCCTGGCATCAAGTATCTGCCAATAAGCACTCATGAGCATACATAGCTGCATGTTTGGTTAATATCGCATGCAGTCTTGTGAAGTCGTTTGGCATTCGGAATTCATTCGCTAATTGACAAGACCGAAGCTGGCAGACCTCCAAACAGATCATCAAAAGATGCAGCCAGCGGATACCTGCAGATTTGGATTCAGATACAGAGATACTCGTGCTACCTGCTGAAATGTCAATTGCCTATTAGATCGCCTCTCCCCTTTTCCCCATACAAATTGACAATTTTTTGACATTTCTTTCTGAACTTTGTTTATTCAGGTAGGCCGCTCCCTAATTAGTGGGTTATATATTTATTTATACAATCTGTTTGGCTATATATTTAAATCTTCTTTGTTTGGAGGGGCCTCGCAAGAGCCTTTTGTTAGTGGCTAATTGCACATAAAAATATGTTGGGGGCTTGCATGCAAATTTAGCTTTTGAAATTTCCATAAATTGCACATAACTTGTATAATTACCGAATACCGTGTCAATAATGGCAACTGAAAAAAAAAAATGGAACAGAAGCTCGACCAAAAATGGAAACTCCAGGAAAATAAATCTAACGTGCTGGAAAACACCGCCAGCGAAAAGTCTATTTTCTAAATCTAAATTGCAAATATCTGCACTTCAGTTCCCCTGCCGATCGTGCCATTCACCCGAAGGCTTTGGCCACTCGATGCCGCAGATGCCAGGATGTTACACAAAATTAATAGTTTGCAAACGAGTTGAATGCCAGATACAAGATACGCGACGGTCGCTGCAAGGCAGCAGAATGCAGCAGCCTCTGAGACTGGAAGTGCACTGAAAACCAAGCTCTATTGTACTTTATGTTAGAATACGACTCAGGAATATTTAACAAAGACAGCTCTAGATTTTAGCAATCCCAATAACTTTTTTAAATTGGTCAAAGCTAGCTCCAGGAAATTTAAATACAAAATACTCCACAATATATAAGTAGCTTGATATTCATCAACTAAAAATATTATTCTTATTTTATTTTACTTCAGAAATAAATAAGAATTCAATTTTCTTTAAAACAGTTTTAAAGGTTTTAAAATATTATTCGAATCTGAGACAATTTCCTCAATTATAACCAAGAAATATAATGAAATATATATACATATTTTGTTGTTGTTAATATCCAATCGATTAGCTTGACTTTAGAAACCTTTTTTTAAAACAAGTCCCTCAAAAATATAATTGCAAACAAAAATATTTTTTTTTATAATTAAAAATACTTGTTTGTTTTGCTTTTCATAATTCCTCTCGAATAGCTTAACTTTAGGACCCCTTTTTTCAGTGCGTGGATCTGGGGTTGTGTTCCCGATCTCGGAAATGGTCTGGGGTGTCGCTGTCTGCCGTGGACCTGCTGTTGCAGTTCCAGCTCCTGCCGCCATAATGCTTTTGCGCCTGCCCCCGCCCATAAAATCGAAACACCAGACAACAGAACCCGGAGATGGGGAACCTGGAGATCCAGAGCCAGGAAGAAAAACGCGCCCGCCATTCGCTGCCCAATTACATTTTCATTAACTTGGAACACGACTTTTCAAATAGCTACGTTTAATCATAATGATTGTTATTACTTTTTTTTCGGTGCTCTGCGC